TGTGTGTGTGTGTGTGTGTGTGTGTGTGTGTGTGTGTGTGTGTGTGTGTGTAATTTCTGCTGGGAATGCCAAGATGAAAATCAGGAGGATTCCTGCCTTAAAGGAGCCAGAAGGCCAGATTGCTGGGGGCCAAGGTGACCAGCCTCCCCCAAGCTCAGTAGATTCTCCATCCTCTGTCCCAAGTCTCTCTAGGCCTGTTGACACCGGGTAAGGTCCTACCTGGGCCCCTGTCATAGCTGTATTCCCCTCCCACCATCATCTGTCACAGGTAGGGCAAGGGGAGGGCCCCTGGGCGTGGGTTGCCCCTGGGCACACAGTTGTACATCTGCAGCGTGAGTTGTGTAAACAGAACCCTGGACAGGATGCCCATTCATGGGGCCTCAGCACCTGGTGAAGCTTCCCCCAGAAAGCAGTTACTGCCAGGTTCAGGTTGCACCCTGAGGCCAGAGGGGGAGGGAGAGGGGCTGGTCCAGGGAGCATGGGGAATGCCAGGAAAAGCCTGTGCCAGGGGAGAGTCAGCAGCTGCCTGGAGCCTTTGCAGCCCTGGGGCTTCAGTTCTTCTTTGGGGGAAAGGAGATGCCATGGCCAATAATGACAACAAATATTTTTTCCAGGCATGGTGTGATACAATGAACAGAGCCCTGGATCTCAGCTCTGGTCACCTCTGTGACCTTGGGCATCACTTCTCTGGGTCTCAGCTTCCTCATCTATAAATGAAGGGGGTTGAATCTGATGAGCTCTATTGTCCCTTTCAGCTCAAAGTCCTAGGGATGATTAGAGAAGGTTCCATGCCCAAAGTCAAGTAACCAGGTCTCAAGCCCAGGGCCTCCTGCCCCTCAGTCTAGTGTTCATCCCATGCTATATGGGCCCTGGTAACTGGAAGACCCCCACTTTCTCCCCAAACCCTAATACTCCTGCTTTACGGGGTAGCTAACAAGGCCTTTTCATATGGATGTGTCTTCCTGTGATGGAGTGAGGGCAAGGAATTGCCCCATCTTTCAGATGAGGAGACTGAGGCTGAGAGATGAAAAGAAGTAAGATTGAAGGATTCAGAGCTGGAAGGAGCAGCTACAGATTGGCTAGTCTAGCCCCAACATTTTGAATGGATTCTTTCGAATCGGCTTGCCCAAGATCACACAGATAGTAGCAGAGTAGAGATTTGAACTTGGGTCCTCTGATGCCAAATACAGTGTCTATTTGGGTAGGGGAAAAGGACCCTGAGGCAGAGGAATGTCCCTACTTACCCAGACCAAGGCTCAGTCCTAGTTACACCTGAGCCTGTGGCCCAAGCAGAAATGGAGGTGATGGGGTACAGGCCCTGGAAACCGTCCCCACCCTCTGAACTTCCCCTGGACTTTCCCATGTGGCCCAGGTCACAGGCTTTCATCTGGGGCACTGGGTCCTTCCCAGTTAATCCTTTTAACTGCCCTTTTATTATGGCCCTAAATGCCTGTCCTTGGCCCCACCCTAGACCACCATCTTGCCACCATCAAAGGCTCAAACTCCTTAAGAGTCTGGCTTGCTGCTTATTGGGGAAACAATAAACTTGGTCTCTGACTGAAAGAATGCATGAGTCTAATTTCAAGGTAGGACCTGTGCCTTTTGCCCTTGAATTTTGGGGTTCCTGGCACCCCTAGACCTCAACAGAAGGGTGGGAAAGAGAGTTCTCCAGGCTTTTTTTACCTTGAGTTAGTCACAGCAAAACCCTGAGCAAGGGATTATAAATTCATCTCCTGCAGGATCAATATCAAGGTCAAAGGTCTCAGTTAATCATGCAGAGGTGGGGGGAGGGCTGAGAAAGGGGGATTTGGAGCAGTATACAAAAGCCCTCATAGCCCTGGGATGGGGTGGCCACAGGGCCTGTTCTTTGAGGCTGAAGACTGTTCATACTGATGGGTTGATGGGACCTGGACCCCTGAAAGGAAAAGACCGTGTCTTTGGAAGCAACACAGTCTCTGAATTTTCCTATACATTACAGTAGCCCAGGTCCCATTACCTCATCAATACAATGTCAGACCTGGAAGGGAATCTCGGATACCATCTTTGTGTGTGTCTTTCCCCAAATGGGAGAACTCCTTGACATCAGAGGCTGTTCTGCTGGTTTCCCCATCATGGTGCACAGTAAACACTTAATAAATGTTATCCCATTCCATTGCATAGAGATAAAGGGGACCTTAGAGTCTACTTCGTCCAACCTCCTTGTTTTATAGATGAGGAAACTGAGGTCCAGAAAGAAATGACTTGTCCAGGGTCAGTCAGGTACAACTTCCCCATTTTAGAGCTCACTGGCAAAATCCTTATTTTACAGATAGAGAAACGGAGGCCCAGAGAGGGAGATGACTTGCCCAGTGTTATTCAGCTAGTACTTGGCAGAACCAGGATTCAAAGGGAAGGCACTGGTCACTCCGGATGCAGAACGCTTTTCACTGACACATTCTGCCTCCAAGGATGAGTGGAGAGGTAGCTCAGCCCTTTCTGCCTCAGGTTGGCAGAAGATGCCTCCCAGTTGGAGTGTGCAGGCTGCAGAGTGGAATGACCTTCCGTTGCATCAGAACCCCTTCCCTCCTTCTTGGGTTCACTGCCCAGTGCCTGACACATCAGTTAGGCTCAGGTCAGCACAGTGGGATTTCTGAAGGGTAGCCAGGACCAGTTAGGGTGAAGCGATTCAGTCCCATCTGACCCCATCCGATAATCATATGTAGTAGGCACTGTCAGGGGCCAGACGTAAGAGAGCCGCAAATGAAGCTTTCCCCTGCCCGCAGAGAGACAGATCTAATAATGGGGCTTCTGGGCCATAGAGGTAGCCTTCCTGGTATCATTAAAAAGGACAAAGGAACGTCCCCAAGTCTCTGGTAACAGCTTCGGGGGCTGGGCGGATGGCAGTGGGGGAGGGGTGGGAGGAGCTGGGAGAGGCTCACATTCCAAGCTGATCTAGCTGGAGGACTTTTCCTACCCAGTGGAAAATCAAACAGTTTCACAGCCAGGTATCTGTCTGGTGACGATGCTCTGGGACCTGGAGATAAGTGTTTGTGTGCTTTTCCTGGGCTGGGCCCTAGCTGTTGGTAATCTGATCTCCCTTTGCTCCAAGGTGGGGCTAGATCCCAGTTCAGGCAGCCCAGCCCAGTGAAACTGCAGGGGGAGGGAGTGGGAGGGGTGTGGGAGAGATGGTGTGGGGTGTTCCGAAGGAGGCTGCGGTGCTGGCTGGTTGGAGTGGGGCTTCTGTTGGAGAGGGCTGTCAGGGATGGCTCACCGCTCACACACACACACACACTCACCCACCCGTCGTTGCAAAATTGAGCCTGTTTTCACTGAATACTTCTTGTATGTACATTGTCTTCCCGAATTAGAATGTCTACTCCTTGAAGGCAGGGATGCTGTTGTTGCAGATTTTGTATGCCCATAATAACATTTACATATGAGTTCGTTATTGGCAAAGCATTTTGCAAATTTTATCTCAGTTGATTCTCACAACACCCCTGGAAAGCAGGTGCTCTTATTATCCCCATTTTGCAGATGGAAAAACTGAGACTGAGAGAGGTTAAGTAACTTAGTACTTAGTAGGCACTTAATGTTTCCTGTTGGACTTGCTGTGGTTCAGAGAGTTAGGAGCTGAGACAGGATTAGAATTCAGGTCTTTCTGACTCCAATTCCAGCTCTCTCCACCTAGCCGCCTCTACTGGTAAATCAGTTAGCATTTATTATGTACGCTACTATCGGTCAGCCTTAATATCTATCTGCAGTGGATAGACAGAATGCCAGGCCTGGAGTCAGGAAAACTCTTTCTGAGTTCAAATCTGGCCTCAGACACCCGGGCAAGTTATTTAACCCTGTTTGCCTCAGTTTCCTCATCTGTAAAATGAGTGGGAGAAGGAAATGGCAAACCACTACAGTATCTCTGTGGAGAAAACCCCAAATGGGGCCACGAGGAGTCAGACACAACTGAACAACAGCAAACATAGAAAATACCCGCGTGAGCAAGATATCTACCGGACAAATTGCGTCTCTGAGAGAATGCACTAAAATTAAGGAGGCAGAGATGGGGAGGGAGAAAATTCCAGGCATGGTGGACCAAACTTCCAGAAACCCTGTCAGAAAGCTGGATGCCCTCAACAGCCAAGTCTTGGGGCCTGGGCGCTCCCTCCCCTCAATGCTGGCGAAAGCTCCAATACAGAAGGACATGTCAAGTCATCAGAGGATTTGTGGTCATTTTATTTTTTTAACGGAGGCGCTGATCTCCATAGCAAAGGCCCCTGAGGGAGAGTAATGGCGGGGAAAGACTGAGTTGCTTTTTCTGGCCCACAGCTCCTGATCTAGGGACGATGTTCTTTTGTTGGCATGGAAGGCTACATTCGTCACAAGAACTAATTGTAGGAGGAACTTCAGTGGTGACTATTTAGGTCCAGTGTTCCTCTGGGTGCTTGGAGGGTCCTCATCCCCCGTTGGATGCCAATGACCTTAGCAGGGGGGGAATTATCAGGGCATCTGCACCTCCATTCCTATCTGAGTGAATCGCCCAGAATCCACCCTGATACCACGTGGGCGATGAAGACGAGTCTGTAGATCTCCTTCACATCTCCCCGGAGTATCAGGAAGGTGGTGACCACCAGGGGCTGATCCGGCTACAACAAAAGCAATAAGAACTAAGTTTAGGCTTTGGCTCCGGGGGATGCAGCAGCTTGGGCTGGAGAGACCATAGAGCGTTCTTTCAATAAAAATTTAGATCAGGGGTGATGGTAGAGCGGAGCACGGGGAGTGCTATGGAAAAAACCATCGTCAACCCTACGCATAAGCAGAGCCAAATGTTAGGTTGCTGTTGTTTTTTTTAAACCTGCGTCCCCTCCCCCCTTCCTGCCCTTCCCCAATCCTCTTCTCCAAAGGAACTTGGGTTCTGGCCTGTTGGAATCAAGATCTGGCTTCTATTTGCCCTGCGGGTTTCAGTTTGGGGTATGAGAGCATTCCCAAAGCAGGACAAATAACCCTGGATCTTTAATTAGGTCCTTGTGGATTGGCAGAGGGGATGCCTCCCCTGCCATCAGTTGGAGTGTGCTCAGGTACTAGCAGCTTAACAAGCAGAATTAGGAAGGCAAGTCTGATGCCAATACTGATCCTGCCCCACCCTCCCCCCTAGACCTATAATGTAGTTCATAGCTACTTTAAAGTTGTTAGGACTTACATGCTAATTTGGACACTTTATTAGCCTTAAGCCTCAGTTAACTTAACCTGAGCCTCAGTTTCCTTATCTGAAAAATGGGGATTTTAAATACTCACATGGTTGATCAACCCCGTAGGGTAGCTGAACCTTAAAGTAGTATAGGAATGTGAATTGTTTGTTGTTGTTATTATCATTATTATTATTATAATTAGGTCCTAGTTCTAGAGCCAAAAGGGACCTTGAAGGTCACTGATTCCAACCCTCTCATTTTACAGATTAGGAAACTGAGGCCCAGAGTCTAACAGGTCACATAGGAGGTAAACAGCAGAGCTAGGACTTGGCCCTTGGACACCAGTTTTCTCACACCATCGTACTTCCTTGGGTATTTCCCTTTCAGTTGGTTCAGCCTGTACTATGTGGTTTATAGGATTCTTTTTCTTGGCCTTATGCAATATAGTGAATTATTCTACTGCCTGAGCCTAGGTGTCAGCGTAGGGCACTCTGGACATAGACCAAATGCTCCATTAACACTGTCTTTAAGATCAGAGTGCAGGCTGAGAGCCACTGGCATCAGCTCCCTGTACAATGACCACCCAATTCAGCTGACTTTCTGGACCAGTTACTTGGGTCTTTTGTGTCTGAAAGGGGAGCTACATATTCTGAACTGAGTTTAAATGGGGCAAAGGCTGCTTCAGATCTGGCTCTAGAAGCTGGCAGGGAGAAATAGGAGGGTAGAAGAAAGGGAGGGGGGAGGAAAGGAGAAAGAAGGGAAGTGAATAGAGGAGGAGAGGAGAAGAGAAGAGAAGAGAAGAGGGGAGGAGTGAAGAGGAAGGAAAAGAGAAGGAAAAGGGAGGGAAATAGGGGAGGTGAAGAGAAGATGAGAGGAGGAGGGGAGGAGAAGAGAGGAGAAAAGACAGGTGAGAATGGAGAAGGAAAAGAGGGAAGGAGAGGTAGAGAGAATGGAACGAGGACAGGAGGGGAAGGAGGAGGAAGATGGGAGAAGAGGAAAAAAAGGGAAGGGAGGGGAAAAGGGAAGGAGGACAGGGGAGAAAAGAAAAGGGAAGAGAGGAGGGGAGAGGAGGAGTGGGGAATGGAGGGAAAGGAAGGAGAGAAGAAAAGAGAAGGGGAAGGGGGAAGGGAAGGAAAGGAGAGGAGCTGCCCTGACTGGCTCACAGATAAATATAGAAACCCCTTCTGGGTACAACATGCTTAGGAATGAAAGCAGCCCAGCCCTGGCAGCAGGTCAGACAATGACTGCAGCCACATACGTCAAAATCAGCCGTGGGCACCCAGGACACGCTGATGGTCTTGGTCTGGCCTCGGTCCACAGTCCCTTTGGAGGGCTCTACCGTGAAGCCTTTGTGCTGAAGGAAGTGAATGTTGTCCAGGCTGAAGTCGATGCTCTATGGAGGCAACGAAAACTCTGGTCCCTAGGGATGGCCTTTGTCTTCCGTTCTCTCCACCTCTCCTCCCCTCTTTTCCTTCTCCATTTTTTTAAGGCAATTGGGGTTAAGTGACTTGCCCAGGGTCACACAGCTAGTGAGTGTTATGTGTCTGAGACCAGATTTGAACTCAGGTCCTCCTGACTCCAGGGCCAGTGCGCTATCCTCTGCACCACTTAGCTGCCCCTCCTTCTCCATTCTTACTTCCTCTCCTCTCTCCCCTCCCCTCCCCCTCCCTCTTCTCTTCACTAGTCCCCAGGTGTAGATTCTTATCCCTCAGGGTTGGCCCTTGTCCCCAGCGGAGAACTGTGACTCCTCAAGGCTGCATTCCCCCCCATCCTGTGGTGCTAGGATGAGGGTTCATACCCTGGGCTTGGACATTTTCTTCCTTGGAGGGCAGATGCATTTTTCCTCACTTGGGCCCAATAGTCCCTCCATCTGTTCTCCACAGCCCCTTCCTCTTTCCAGGCTTTTATGTTCAGGGGTTTCCATGGGTGCAACCAGTTCTATTCAGTCCATAATTACTAAGCACCCATATCATGCTAGGCCCAGGTTCTGGGCATATAAGGTCAAAACCCACAACAGTCACTGTCCTCTGAAGGCTTCTGCTTTACCAGAGTGAGACAGCAGGAGCACAGGTCTATAGAGTACATAACAGGGAGTGAGGGCCCAAAATAAGGGCTCCAGGAAAGTAGGAGGGGGAGGGAACACTGACATGGGCAAGGGAACACTGGTGTGGGGGAGCACTCTCATGAGGAGGGAGCACCGACATGAGCGAGGGAGCACTGACATGGGCGAGGGAGCACTGACATGGGCGAGGGAGCACTGACATGGGGGAGCACTGACATGGGGGAGCACTGACATGGGGGAGAGTTATCCAGGAAGTTCTCACAGAGAGGCTGCACCTGAGCTGAATGGAGGGAGAATGGGGTGATGAGGCCCGGGCCTGAGGACACAAATACTGCTCTGGGACTGGTGGCATGGCCAATCATCTTCTTAGTGGATGAGGGACCAGGCCAAGTGCCTAGCATCACAGCTGAGCCCTCTCGGGTGTGCATGTGTGTGTGTGTGTGTGTGTGTGTGTGTGTGTGTGTGTGTCCTTTGTCCAAAGCCTGTGGGTATTTTGGGGGAAAATCTGTAGAACAGGGGTTCTTGGCTAGGGTCTGGTGAACCCAGATAGAGAAAAGGGGGCATCTGTATCTTCACCCACCTAAAATGAGTGTTTCCTTCAATTATGAATGTTAGGCAGCACGACATGAGAAGGAGTCTGTAGGGGTCACCAGACTCTCCTTGGGGAGGGGGTGTAGTCCAGGACACCCCAAAATTTACTCTCTTCTTGAAATCTTGATCTTTCTGGAAAGGTCTGGTGGGGCAAGGTGACCGTGGGAGCCAGGGGACTGTGGGCCGCCAGGGCGCTCTGGGGTGGGCACGTTACCTTTTTCAGAGTGGGCTGGGAGGTTCGGATACATCCTATTTGTAGTTCTCGGGTGGCGGGGGTGGATGCAGAGTCCATCTGGATATACTCTAGGGTCAGGATAATTGCCTTCATCTCTTCTGCATCTAGATGGGGGTGGAATGGCCTGATCATCTGGTCTCTCCTTAGACCAGGGGTGTGGAGGGCTTCCTCACCCCCTACCTATTGGGGAGGTGGGCTTGGGCAGTGAGGAAGGATGATGAGTGTAGCAGTGTCAATTAAGCAAGATTCTGTCCCCTATCCCTGCCCCCAGCCTTTCTTTTCCCTAAATCAGAAGTCTGAGAAAGGGGCTGGGAAACCTTCCAACATTTGGCAGGGGGCAGGGAGCCAGAGAGAAGGAAACCTGAGGCCGCCTTGGTGGTTTAGAAGTGTTTACCAGATCATATTATTTCCTGCTACTGGCAGAGTGGGGGATGGGCTCTGGCAAAATTTGACCCTGAGCCCAAGGGCCTGGGGCAGGCTGGGCAGAAGTGGGAGCAGGATAGGGAGGAGGGGAAGGGCGGAGTTCAAAGGGGCATCCTCCCTGGGTTCCCAGACCCCTGGGAGGGCCAGGCTCCAAAGGTGGCCAGCTTTCCCCGGGCCTGGGCCTGGCTTGCCCATCCACTGTGCCTGAAGGTTCAGGACCTGCCAGGGATCAGACAGGGGCTCAGTTGCCACCAACAGCTGCACAGGCGCTCACCTTCTCTTCGCTCCTCCTCTCTCACAGAAGAGATTACAGCCAGGGACTCCACAGTCACGTCCAGAGGGTCGCCTCCTTCCACAAACATCATGTGCTCCCTTGCAGCCCCTTTCAAGAGGATCTGATGGGACACCCTCTGAGACAAGACAGAAGAGCCGTGGCCCTGTCACTGGTGTGCCCCCATCTTTCTTAACTGTCCCCCTCTCTCCACTCAAAGGGGTAATGGGTGTCACCGAAAAGCCATCATAGCCCACATGGGCAGCACCTGGCGGGCAGGGCTGCTCCCCTGGGAGAGGCCTGGGCCTGGCCCACGTTGGGGAGCATATATTCATGGACCTCACATTCTCCCAATGGAGCCTGTGGAAAAGCAATCTGGCCACTATCTGTCCCCCCAAAGAGAGCCTGGCCTGGGGGGTGGGGGGCAGTGCAAAGAACCAGCACTCAGATGCACCAGAGGGTGATGGAGCAAAGGTGGATGCAAGGTTAGATCCAAGATTGGTGAATCTAAGAGATGCGAAGAGAGGGGAGAGGAGGGGAGTCAAAGAAATAACTCGAATACAGAAAAGGCAAAAGGCAGGACTGAATTCAGGGTGCTGCTAGCAGGCGATGAAGGCCTAAGGAAAGAGGTTCAGCTCATTTCCTGCAGTGTTCATAAGGGCCCAGAAGATGGCGCTGCTGCCCCGTGGTTTCTGGGGGGTGGGTGGTGGGTGATGGGGAGTGGGCAGGGTTCCAAAATCCAGGTGAAGTTGGTTCCCTGTTGGGGGGAGGTGAAGAGGAGGAGGGAGACCAGAGTCCCACTGATGGCCAAACAAGGGTGTTGGGGCCCTCCCATCATGCCTTTCCAGAGCCCCAGTCCCAGGGGCTGTAGTGTTTGCTTGGGTCCTTGCTCTTGGTGGATGGGACCCTTTGGCAAACAAATAGTCCAAGGGTGTGCTCCCAAAGGTCCACACTGATGCCAGCTCTTCTCTAACACTTAGAAGTTTGCAAACCACATTAATGTGGAATCTCATTTGGTCCTCATGGCAACCCTGCAAAGTAGGTGCTGTGTGTATGTATATATATATGTATGTATATAAGCCCCACTTTGCAGCTGAGGAAACTGAGGCTGAGAGAATGACTTGCCTATAGCGACATAGCTTGAAAGCACCTGAAATAGGATTTGAACTCAGGTCTTCTAGACCCCAGCTAAAGTGCTCTGTCCATGGCACTAATTAGTTGCAATTAACCACATAATCTGACCGACCCATTGACCAAGTGACCAGGTGAGTCACTGACCAGTGAGCAAGGACAATGACCCTGTGAAGGAACCTGCTTTACAATTCATCTGAGTGAGGAGGGCGCCCACAGACGCTGCTTTCTTTGACCCAGGATTTCCACTCTTAGCTGCCCGTGCACCAGGCATTGATGCCTGTGATTCTATCAGTCAAGACTGAGCCTCAAGAGGCAACTAGGTGGCGCAGTGGATAGAGCACTGGCCCTGAAGTCAGGAGAACCTGAGTTCAAATCTGACCTTAGATACATAACACTAGCTGTGTGACTCTGGGCAAGTCACTTAACCCCAATTGCCTCACCAATAAAAAAAAAATGACTAAGCCTCAGACGCTCAACCTGAAGCAGGCCCTGGTGCCCTGGCTAATTGAGTCTGGTCTCCCATATCTGGCTTTTCCTTTAAAGCCAAGAAGATCAAGGGTCAAATGTTTGGCTCGCTATCTTTCCCCTTCCCTCCCTGGGTATTCTGGCTCAGCCCTGCCAGTGGGGGACACCAGCCTTTGCTGCACCACTGGGGAAGTCATTTGGGAAATAGCGGAGCTGCCGCTGAGGCTGCTTAGGCATTGTACCTTATTAAACAGCACCACTTGCATCCTGTCAGAAAAGTACAGGCTCTCATGGTCCGGACTGAAGGTCAAGGTGAAGTCCTGCGTCTTCCCTGGTTCAATAACTCCATCTACTGGGGAGACGCTGAACACACTCTGGCCATTGTAGTTCTGGGTGCCTGCGGGGACAGCGACAGGGACAGGGAGGGGGGAATGACATCAGAGCGCTGCACAGAAACCCACTCAGAGGGAACGCCATCTTCCTTTCTTTTCCCTACTCTACCCCGATATCATTATTGTTTTTTTTCCCCCTGAAACTTGCATCTTGTGATTTCTGCTCAGAGTTTATCAACCATGATGGCTCAGTGGCTAGGTCCCTTTGCTACCCATTTCCAGTTCCATGGAAGAAAATGATTGGAGAGCCCATTTTTGTTCTCGGGAATCCAACGGATTGATTCATCTTTCATTACAATAAAATTATAGTAGGGGGAAGCAATTCCTGCCAGCTTTAAACTTTACATCTTACAGGATTGCAGCTTTAGAGACAGATGCGTCTTTAGAGGGCATCTAGGTCAACTGCTTTTCTTTTTTCAGAGGGAGCAACTGAGTCCTAGAGAGGTTGCACAATTCACCCAGGGTCTTGCAAGTAGCAAGGGGTAGATAGCTAACTAACCCCAGGGCTCTTTCCACTAGATAAGACTAGGCTAGGCTGCCTCAGAGCAGAGATGGAGGGAGCCCTAGAGATCAGATAGTCCAAACCTTCCTTTTTCCAAAGAAGAAACAGTTGCCTAAAGGGGAATGGATTTGCCCAAGATTGTATGTCCAGTTAGTGTCAGGTCCTGGATTAGGACCCAGATTTACTAACTCTCTCTGATCTAGGATTCATTTCTACCGCCATCCCTCCCCTCACTGCCTTCCTAGGCAGGATTTCCAAATTGGTGCAAACTTTCCTTTTCTGGAAGCAACTGACTCTTAAAGAGATGGGGTGGGGGAGGGGTGCTCCTGCAGGTATTGCCCAAGTCAATATTTACCAATGATATTGGTCCTTCTTTCTGAGTTATTGACAAAACCCGGCATCTGCAGCTGTTCCTTATTTCTCATCAGGGAGAGGCTATCCAGAAAGATGGAATATTTGATTGGGAGTGTCGAGTTGTTATGAAGCTTTAAGAAAGCAGAAATTAGACTCAATTCCTCCATGTGCCTGGGTCACACAGCAGGGCAGAAGCCCCCAGGGAAGTCATCCATCATCTCTAAATGACTGTCAGGGCAGAAGGAACAAGCAGGAGAATCCCTCTTTTTCTGACTGGTCCCATGGAGAAGCAGGAGGCTGGGAGGATGTCTAGGTGACATTTGTGAATGATTAAAACATTTTGAGGGTTTTATTTTTTTTTTTAGCAGAGTAAAGCTGCTGTGCCAGTCATATCTGATACCATGCATTCTTGGATAGACTATTATCTAAAAATATTTCCGTCTTATTGCTTCTCCCACCATCTGGATTCTTCCCTTCCATCAAAGCAACCAGATATCTACAGATGGAAAATCTAGCTGGGCCAATTCCATGCTGCAAGGTCATGTTTGTGCTAGAGAAGAAAATACTGCAGCCTAAAACACTGGGCTAGAGCTCTCCCTGAGAGGACCACTGCCAGCATCATTCGTTTAAACACTTAGTGAGCACCAAATGTGTGCATAGCATACCTATCTTTGAGGTGCTTACAAGCTAGTAGAGTGGACACATTTATGTGCACGAAACAGTTCAAAATTTACACAGCTACTGTATCTCCTCCTTCCTTGGTGATTTCATCTGCTCTTATTATTTCTATGTAGATAACTCCCAAACTTTATGTATGTATGTATCTATCTATCTCTCTAACCTTTCTATCCATCTCTCTCTATCATCTATCTCTATCTATCCATCTACCCATTCATCCACCTATCTCTATCATCCATTTATCTATCTATATCTATCTCTATATCTACATAGCGCTGTCTCTCTGTCTCTCTCTCTTCTCTCTACCTCTCTCCTCCCTGTCTCTCTTGTCTCTCTCTGTCTCTTTCTGTCTCTCCTTTCTCTCCTCTCCTGTCTGTCTGTCTCTGTCTCCTCTCTCTCTGTGTCTGTCTGCCTCTCTCTGTCTCCGTCTGTCTGTCTCTGTCTTTCTCTCTCTCTCCCTTCTCCCACCTTCCCTCCCTATCTATTTATCCATCTATCCTAAACTCCAGTCCTGAATCTTCAATGAGATTTAGCATTAAAAATGCTGGCATTGTAAACCCAACCCACCCACAGTGGAATTTCTCATTTTCCATACACTTAACCCTTCTCTAGGCTTCTCTTTTCCTGTTGTAGGCACTAAGTTTACAACAGCAGAGTCAGACTTGCCTCTCCCTTTCTTCACACACCTAGTTGCCTGTTGCCATGTTCTGTTGATACTCTTTCCACAATAAGTCTCAAACCCCTTCCCTTCTCTCCACTGACATGGCCACCATCCTAAGTCCTTGCCTGGACTATTGAAATAGCCTCCTAATTTCTGTTTGTAGTCAAATCCCTTGACATTTCTTCCCTATGCTGTTGTTCAGTCATTTTTCAGTTGTTTCTGACTTTGCATGACCCCATTTGGAGTTTTCTTGGCAAAGACATTGGGGTGGTTTGCCATTTCCTTCTCCAGCTCATTTTAAAGATGAGAAAACTGAGGCAGACAGGGTTAAGTGATTTGCCCAGGGTCACACAGCCAGATTTGATTGAACTCAGGAAGATGAATCTTCCTGGCTCCAGGTCTGGAACTCTATCTACTGGGCCACCTAGCTGCCCCATACAGTTGCCAAAATAATCTACTTAAGACAAATGTCTGATCACGTCATTCCTATTCTCAAAAATCTTCAATGGCTCCCTATTGCCTCTCAGATGCAATGTAAACCAGTTTAGCATTGAAGGCCCTGAACAACCTGGCTCTACCCCCCACCCTTTATTTTCTTTTCTAGTCTTCTCTTACTCCTGTTCATGTTCAATACTCCTATATTACGACCAAACTGGCTGACTTGCTGATTCCTGAATTTGGAATTCCATCTCCTGTGTCTGTGCTTTCATGCAAGCTTCCCTCCATCTTGCCCTCTCCTCTCCTCTGCCTATGAGAATCTTTAGCTTCCTTTGAGGTTCAGTTCAAGAACCATCCTCTAAGGAAAGGCTTCCTGGGTCTTAAATTACCTTGAGTTATATACATATGCATGTATGTATGTAGATGGATGGGTGTGTGTGTGTGTGTGTGTGTGTGTGTGCACATGTGTGCTCGTACTCTGTCTTTCCCTCTTGAGGGCAGGGACTTTCCTTTTTGTGTTTGTATATTCAAATCCTCAGTGACTTGAATTGTTTGTTGAATTGAATTGCTTCTTTTGTACAAGTACCAAAATTAAAGGGTACTAAAATAAATGCTGTAGAGGAGGAAGAGATTATTCTGGGGTTTCCTTTCCCTCCCCATTCCCCACCATAGGAAAAGTAATGTGGTGCAACCGACTACTTGGATGAGCTGGGAGTGACCAGCTACCTCCCCCTTCTGGTGAGATAGAAGACTACCAGCCCTTAGCATCCACTCTGCCATGACCTCCTCCAGACCCACAAAGACTGTGACCTGACCTGGCTATGTACCTTAAGGACCTCTGGCCCAGCCAGTCACCCTGGTTCTGAACCTTTAGGCCTTCTATGCCTTGTCATGCCGCTTGTCCTGAAGATCAACTCTCCTATATGTGTTGTCTCCTCCAATTAGAGTGGAAGCTCCTTGGGAGTAAGAAGTCTGTTTTTTTTTCTTTTTCTATTTGTATTGTATGTATTAGCAAATAGCAACTCAAAAGAAAGCTTAATAAATGATTTTTCATTTGTTTATCAGAGAAGGCTTCCTGGTGGAGGTGAGACAGCTGGGTCTTGAAGGACAGGAAGGTAGAGAAGAAAAGGTTGGCACTTCCAGGCACCAATGAAAGATCCCAGATAGCAGAGGCTGGGTCTATCTCCTTCCTCTAAGCTCCTCTCTCTAATGAATGTTTTACAGAATGAAACCCAACACTCCAGCACTGGTTTTTAAAAAATTTTTATATTACCATCTTTTTTTTTTATATGAGGCATTTGGGGTTAAGTGACTTGCCCAGAGTCACACAGCTAGTGAGTGTTATGTGTCTGAGGCTAGATTTGAACTCAGGTCCTCCTGACTCCAGGACCAGTGCTCTATCCACTGTGCCACCTAGCTGCCCCCATATATTACCATCTTGGCTACTCTCTGGTCATCTTATATAGCTTTCTGTGTTTTTGCTCTAGAACAGTGATTGGGCAACTGCTGGTCAGCTCATATGAGGTCCATGACCTTCTTTTAAAAAAAAAAATATATATATATATATATATGTATGTATGTATAGATCACTATATTTCAATACAGTTGGCTTCCTTTGAAATTCTATGTGTCTTATGCATTTGAAAAGATTATTCTGTGCGGGATCTGTAAGTTTCACCAGACTGTCCAAGGGGTCCATGACTCCCCCCCCGCCAAGAAACCATTAAGAACCCCGGGTTGAGAGCATAAATTTTTGGGAATACTGAAGACCACTCTTGGGGTTTTTTGTTTTTGGATGTAGTAGTCCCTATAATCTGAGCACTGGAATGGGTCCAAGTCCTGAGGATAGGATCAATAAATGTTTGTATTTGTTGGCTGGCATCTTCTGAAGACTTACGTAGACTAATTGGACTATGGCTGGCCCTAAAGAGGCTTACAATTCAGAGGGAATTCAAAGTAATGGAGGGAGAGCTAACTTACTTTAAAAGTTGATGTGGCACTTTCTCCAACAATAACATATCCCATATTCAGGACATCTCCTTCAATGGAGCAGGTAATTGTGGATGCCACCCCTTTGCCCACCATGGTCAGGGTGAGCGTCCCTCTCTTTGTCATGATATCCAGAGTTTCTAAGAACTAAAAAAAAGGGAGAGGGATATTAGTAGGCAGAGAAGATATGCGCAGAGCAAAAGGAAGGCATCGACTTAGATAAGAGCTAAGATTGTTTCCAGTGGTAAATTTTGGAATCTTAAGTTTGAAATGAAAATAAATATAAAGAAAGTTTAAAAGACAATGGCTTGTCTCAAATTCTTTTCAGTCATCAAATAATATGATGTCAGTGCTGGGGGCACCCACTGAGCTCATTCAGCCCAACTCTCTCATTTGACAGTGTAATAAGAATCTGGTCCATCGAGTCAGAATGCCCTGGCTACATTCAATGGGAAGACATCATCCAGAGGGATGACAGTAATTCAGTGATGAGCCATCAATGCTAATTAATCCACAGAATATTCCTTAGGGGAGGAAAGAGGGGGAGGAGAGGCCATGTAGAGCAATGAAGTCCCCAGGGCGCTATGCTACCGTTCTGGCTAGGGTTATCACATCAGCCCCTGCCCCAGGTCCCCATCTCTAGATGCAGAAGCTTAGCAGAAATGACCTGGGGCCAGTGCTACAAGAAGAGATTTTTCCCATGAAAACCCAACCTGAGCAATGGATATGATATGAGAGGAAAGCCATGGTCTATGTGTTGTAGGTCCATGGATTTCCTCTAGATTCTGGGATTTTGACAAAACCTTCCTTTCCTTGCTGGACTGGTCCATATGCCTCCCCTGGTAACAGGAGCATGGGCTTCTTTTCAGTTTGGTAAACCAATCAAAAGGTCACAGTATGAATTCATTAAGCATTTATTATTTTCTCCCCGAAAAAGGACCAGACTGCAATCTTCCAGCAAAATGGGGTTGTGTTCTCTTCCCCACCAAAGGGCTAGCTGTCTTATTGCCTGATCTTTCTTTTTACTTCCGAATGAGATGTGAGTGCCAAGACTTCAACTGAATACAGACTTGTGGATCTGTCCCTTGACCGTAAGAGCTTACCGTGTTACTCTCTCGGGGAGAGAATGATACAGCAATGTTTTTGCTTTCTTTAGATTGAAGACCACAACAAGGAGATAGCAGTATAAAGGGGCCATAGAGATTCAGAATAGAAAACTTCAACTGGGGAGAGACTAGTCAAGGAGACATAGTAATAATAATAATAATAATAACAATAATAACAATAATAATAGTAATAATGATAATGATGAGGGTGAGGATAGCAGTCTGCATTCGTATAGAGCTTTAAGGTTCATGAAGTGCTTTACATGTTATTTCATTTGATGTCCACAACAACCCTGGGAGGTAAGTGCTATCATTGCCCATTTTTTCAGATGAAGAAACTAAGGGCAGGGGGGGGAGGGAATAGACATTTATATAGCACCTACTATATGTCAGTCTCCGTGCTAAGCACTTTTACAAATATTATTTTGCGTTCCTCACAACATCTCTGAGAGGTAGGTGTTATCTTTGAATTTTACAGATGAGGAAACTGAAAGGGGGATAAGCATTTATAAAGGGCCTACTATGTGCCAGTTACTCTACTAAGCACTTTAATAAATACTATCTCATTTGATCTTCACAACAACCCTGAGAGGTAGGTACTATTATTATCCTCATTTTACAGTTGAGGAAATTGAGGCAGACAGAGGATAAGAGACAGCCACAGCTAATAAGTGTCTGAGGCTGGATTTGAACTAGGGTCTTCTTGACTCTAGGTCCAGCACTTTATTGCTATCACCTTAGAGGCCTTAGCCCAAGGATGAAAAAAGAGCAAATAGTGGACACTTCCAAATTCCTCACAGGTCCACAGGCTTCTTGTGGCTTAATGCTTTAGAAGAAGAAAAAAAAAATGTCACAGCAGAGGAAAGGTAGATCATAGGAGCCTAGATTTAGGACAGGAAGCGATCTCAGAGGTCAGTTCCTCCAATCTCCTTGCTTAACAGAGGAGAAAACAGATGTGGAGAACCTGGGGGACTTCCCTACTCACATGGGTAGTTAAGTAGCAGAGGAAGGGCTTGAACCTACTCCCCAAAAAGCCTGATATAAAATCCCTTTCTTAAACAGAAAAACAAGGCAGTTCAGCTGCTGGACCATGTTGGGAATACTCAAGCAGAAGTCCTCTGGAAGGATACATCTAGGTATTCTGGGCAGACATTCTCTATCGTGATCTTTTTGATCTCCCGGTGCCCTAAAACAAACAAACAACAAACAAAAATTAAACACCGTGGTCGCTACCTGAGGTCTGGGGAGTATGGAACCTGTGGGCCAAATCAAGTCAACCAAAATTTACTAAGCACCCACTGTCTGCCATTGGGAGTGGTTAGCAAAGTTCAACAGGAAGAGAGACTATAAATTTGTCAGTGCAAATGATGTGTTGGGGGGCACAGATTGGGGAGGGTGGGGAGAGGGAAAGGGGAGTCATAAGGAAGGTCATAAGGAAGCAAGAGTGCCAGCGTCAGATCTTACCGACTGCAATGTCTCCAAAGTTGAACACGGTTTTCCCGTTGTCCGAAGCAACCACGATAGAGGGAGCCACCGTTGGACAATATAATTCCAGGTATAGTGTGTTATAAGGACTAGGAAGTTGGGGGAGAGAGGAGAGGAGAGGAGAGGAGAGGAGAGGAGAGGAGAGGAGAGGAGAGGA